AGCAACAAATTGTTGTAGTAGAAATAAGCTACGAGCATAAAATAAGACACTAAAACTGACGTCGATGGAGTAAAGTGTCTAAAGCTATGCCCTAGCTAATATGAATCATATAGGTTACTTCTAATAGAAGCAGTAAATCCTATCGACAATTCTTTCACTAAATATGTATTTATTAAGTGAAGCAATAAATTCCAAAAAAATATCATTTGACAACTTTCAAATGAAAGCCGTAAGTCCGACCTTAGGGGAAAGTCTTAGGTAAAAACGACCTAACTTCTAACCCCCCATTAACAAATCCACATGGGCATCTTAGTCTATAGGACTAAGTTGTAAGACCCATCATTTGGGCTACTTCTAAGTGAAGCAATAAGACCCGTGTGTTAGGGAAGTTCTAAACGAACAACCTTATAACCCAAAAATTTAAATCCCTTCGGGCCACTTAGCTTATAGGGCTAGGTCGTAAGACCCATCATTAGGTAACTTCTAAGGAAGCCATAAGACCTACTCAATTAAATTTCTTCGGGCCACCTCTAAAAGAGGCCGTGAGTCCCACTATCCGGGCAACTCCTAATTGGAGCAGTAAGCCCCAAACTAAACAAATTAACGGGCAACTCCTAATTAGAGCCATAAGCCCCAAACTAAACAAATTAACGGGCAACTCCTAATTGGAGCCGTAAGCCTCAAACTAAGGAAACCATAAGCCCCAATCCAAACTAAACTAAACTAAACTAAAATTCATATATATCCACTTCAGTCTATTCAGGATCTCTGAGAGGAGGCAACCCATGGTTGCTAATCAGATTTCCTGGACACTACAACCAATGGTTGTTAGTGTTGGTAGAATGAACCCACGGTATGCCCGGGATGACGAAACCATAGGATCTTGATCGGGCGTACCTTCATCCTCCCCATAACTAAATTTAAATCTATATTGTACATTCACACACTTCTTGTACAAAGCTAAGTATATTTCATCCTTAATCGAGAGTGCTCTTCTAATGCGTTAGGAGGGGTAATTAACTATGAGGGCTTGCGCTCATAGGAAGTAGAACCCAGATCTAAATAAACCCTGACAATACTCTCAGGGGAAATCTGGTTGAATATTAAACTCAATACCTCCGAGAAAATTAAAGAGAATCCATAAGTTCGTGAGAGCGGGGTTCGCATCTTTTTTAAATTTAATATGATTTTTCTGGAGCGAACAACATCATATATAACGCATTACATGGTGGGAGTTATAATATAAACATATTTGTTTGGTCGGCATGACCATAGTCGATAGGATATAGGTCGGAAAGGCTATTTTCTAGTGATGGTGGTCGGAAGTACCATAGTAGGTGAAGGAGGTCGGAAGGACCGTAGTCAGCTGGAGACAGGGGTCTAAAAGATCGTAGTTGGTAGGAGACCGGGGCAGAAAGATCGTTGTCTGATAATGGAGGTCGGAATGACCATAGTAGGCGAAGGAGGTCGGAAGGACCACAGTCGGCAGGAGACAGGGGTCTGAAAGACCGTAGTTGGTAGGAGACCGGGTCAGAAAGACCTTTTTCTGGTAATGGAGGTCGGAAAGACCACAGCAGGCAAAGGAGGTCAGAAGGATCGTAGTCGACAAGAGACAGGGGTTCGAAAAATTGTAGTTGGCAGGAGACCGGGGTCAGAAAGACTGTTGTAGTATGGTGGTATTCTGATAGAATTATGGGCATCAATGATAAACCAACAGAAGTCCGGGCCTCTGGTGGTGGTCCGACAAAAGTCTGGGCGTTAGGTGGTGGTCCGGCAGGAGTTTGGGCCTCAGGTGGGTCCGACAGAAGTATGGGCCTCAAGTGGTTATCTAGCGGAAGTCCGGGGCTTAGGTGGTGGTAAGGCGGAGCAACAACGTTAGACGGTGGTACGGCGGAGGTGAGGGCCTCAAGTGGTGGTCCAACAGAGAAAAGGGCCTCAAGTGGTGGTCCAGCAGAGAAGAGGGCCTCAAGTGGTGGTCTGAAGGAGCTCAGGGCCTCAAGTGGTGGTCCGGTGGAGCAACGATGTTAGGTTGTGGTCCGGCGGAGGTGAGGGCCTAAAGTGATGGTCCGACGGAGCAACAGCGTCAGGCGGTGGTCCGGCAGATGTGAGGGCCTCAGGCGGTGGTCCGGTGGAGCAATGACGACAGGCAATGGTCCGACGGAACTCAGGCGGTGGTCGAAAAGGAGCTTCTTCATTCTCTTCCTTCTCTTCTTTCTTGGACCCCCCTTTTCAAGAGAAAGAAGGGGTCTATTTATAGATTTCTGGAGTAGCATGGCGCATAAAATAGGTGAGGGATCAAGGATAAATGGGGAGTGGTTGGATGGACGGTCGATATTGAATCCCTTGATTGTGGACCATTTGTCTCATATTTGAAGGTCTTAATGATGTTTGAATTAAGCGATCTTGGGCTCGTTAGATTCGTCTCGTTGAGTTGCTCGATTCGACTATAAGCATGTCATGTTCGGAAACCGTTTGGTAACCAAATTGTGGTTCGAACCTTCCAACAATGCTTTGGACTCGTTTGGGCTCTGATTGAGTCGAATTTGGTGTCGCTGGGTTTGTATTTCCGAGACGTTTAGTTCGACTATAAGTTTGCTGAAATCGAAGTTCGATGGGTCCCAATTTTAATTCCGAAAGTTTCCAATTTGATTTTGCATCGAGATTCATGCCCGATCAAGATAAATTTTTGATGACTTATCAATAATAAATCAAATAGTTCTGAGCATTTCAAACACGTTAATATCCTCTAAATTTTAAATACATGCAACCAAACAATCTCTTAGGTTATTTCATTTTTGGATCATTCTAGTTATAAGATCTAAGAAAATGAGTTTGTAACAAAATTATAAATTAAAATATTAGTAAATTATCTTTTAAATTAGTCATAATAAAGTAGCTTAATGCATAAAAAAACAAATGCATAATCTTTTTCATGATATAGTAAAACAAAATTAGTCCTATCCTTAATTCCTCCTACAACCTGAATGAAGTCAACTGCGCGCAGCCTTTGATCCACCAGAAAATTAATTTCATCATGGGAAACTATGCATGGTTAGACAACAAATGTCTAAATGAATATTAATTTGGGGAGCTAAAATTGACAAATTTTTAAAATGAGATTATTTATAAATTTGAATATTACAATAATGAAGTTAAAATTTAGGCTTCGTTTGGGACGGCTTTTTTATTGCTTTCTAAAACGGAGTTTTAGTACAAATTTTTTTATTTTTTTTTATTAAAACTCCGTTTTAGAAAGCAGTAAAAAAGCCATCCCAAACGAAACCTTAGATTAAAAAAATTGATCAAGTGGTCATGTGAATGATGACTTGCCTTTCATGTGGTCAAGATGAACTAAAATAGTTATATCATGTGACTATTTTGAATTCTTTTTAAAGATCTGATGAGTCAAAATTATCCTTTAATATACTTGGAGATCATTTTCATACTGCTTCTTAAAGCAATTTTTTAGTGCAAAATTTAAAATTGTTTTACTAGAAAGCTGCTTGAAGTAGTAAGAAAGTCGTCTCAAATGAAGTCTTAGTTTGACACTTCCTATGAAAACCTATATAAATCACTAAATTTTATATTTATTTGCATATCTAACATATAAATATTTATATTTAATTTGTAACATATTATTATCTAAATCATATCAGAACTTATGCATGGAAAATATGTATTTAAAAATAGAAAGTTTATGTTAGTGGAACTCTTGTGTGGGATCATTATGCATTAAATAGATAAATATAAAAATATAAAGATTTAGATATTAGATATATAAATATATAAGAATTCAGTGATTTGATAATATCAAAGAGTAAATACACTAATTCAAAAGTTAAAAAAATAAAAAAGATAGATGAAAATGAAAAATAAGAAAGGTTTTAATATTATGTGTGTAAATATATCCTAAGAAAATAAATTAATTGATAATTATAGGCTAGACTTTTTAAGTACACTTGTAGGACTAGTAGAATTTTGTTTTTGAATATTGACTTTTTAATAGCTATTGAATTCAGATAAATTTAATTATAAAGAATTATTTCTCATCCTGATAAATTTAAAAAAAAATTTAACGTCTTAGTTTTGTACGAAAATACAGTGTGCAATCAGATAAGAGAGAGAGGGTATAGTATTCATAAGAGACCAAATTTTCTACGTGGAAAACTCTGAAAAGGGGAAAAATCACAGGGCCTGACCCAATTTAAAATAATCCACTATTATTTGCAGTCGATTACAAATGAGGCCCTTCACTGGGAGGAAGGCCTTGGTTTGATGTACATCATATGGAGTAAATTACTTGGTGGGAATACAAAGAATCATTGTTGACGTGTTCGTTTGGTCGGAAGGATCATAGTCGGTGGACGACGGAGGTCGGAAAGATAGTTGTCTGGCGACGGAGGTTGGAAGGACTGTAGTTGACAACGACAAAGGTTGAAAGGACCGTTGTCTGGTAACGGAAGTCAGAAGCATTGTAGTTGGCGTGCAATAGAGATCGGATGGGCCATTATTTGGCGATGGAGGTCGGAAGGACCGTAGCCGACCGTAGTCGGCGGGCGGCTGAGATCGTAAGGACCTTAGCTGATAGGAGACAGAGGTGGAGGCGACGGAGGTCAGAAGGACTGTTGTCTGCCAACGAAATCGGAAGGACCGTAGTCGGCATAGGAAAGTTGCTATAAAGATCATTGCTGAAGGGTAACCCCCCACCCCCATTATCTATAAACTAAATATTAATTACCTAATTAACCTCGTGCTTAAGCATCAGCGACCGCCGCCGGTACGTTTGTAGATGGAAAGTCCGACTTTCCAGCCTAGTAACAGACAAAATAATATTTTGAATTCCAAGCCCACGTGGCCGCCTTCCTAGTCCACATACACCCCGCCAAAACACGTCCAGATTCACGCACGCTTTCCTTCTACTGCTTTGCTTCAAGAACGCGGACCACAATCCTGACCAGGTTCATGCGGCACATGCCCGATCACTATAAAATGTTAGACCACTTACACCTTTACAAATCATAATCCACTAATTAATCTTCCGATTGGATAAATACGTTTCCCATTTTTTGTCTTTTAGATCGGAGCTTCTGCTTCGAACGCCGGCGGCCATCTCGGCAATGGCTTCGATGGAAGCGCTTTTTGCGAATGTCCCAGGCGGAAATCTGCAATTTCCCAAAACACGGCGTACTGGTTTTCCCGGTGGTGCCATGGTTCGCCTCCGGCGGGTATACGGAGGTGCGGCTAGGGTTCGGTGCGGCCTGATTGAGCCGGACGGAGGGAAGCTGGTGGAGTTGGTGGCGCCTGCAGGGCCGGAGCGGGAGGCTATTCGGAAGGAGGCGACGCTGGCGGGGGGCTTGCCGCGGATTAAGCTATCGCGGATCGATTTGCAGTGGGTGCACGTGTTGAGTGAGGGGTGGGCGAGCCCGCTCCGCGGTTTCATGAGAGAAGCCGAGTTCCTCCAAACTCTTCATTTCAATTGCCTGCGGATGCCGGATGGTTCTGTGGTCAATATGTCGGTGCCGATCGTGCTCGCAGTGGACGACTTGCAGAAGCGGGCTGTTGAGGGCCGAGACAGGGTTGTGCTTGTTGATGCTAATGGCAATCCTGTTGCAATTCTTAAAGAGTAAGGATTAAATTTCTTCTACACTAGATTTATTGTTTTTCTTTTTCGGCTGTGATTCAAACTTGGAGGTCATCACCATTTTATTTATTTGAAATGATGTGTTACTGGTTTCGTTCATTTTGGTTTTAATTTGCTTCGTTTGCTTTTAAATTAACTGTTTTATTGGTTGAGGTGGAATTGAACGGTATGGCGTGAATTTTAATTATCTATATATTATTTTGCAAAGCAAAGTTCCATCTAATTGATGGCTGGTGACTCTTGAGGGTTTTTTTGGTGCAATATTTATAATTTATCATTCTTTGCCCTTAATAGATGTGTTGATGTACTGTTCTTCGAAGAAACAAAAGCATGGAATATTTAGTATGACAGGGAAAATATCTCCTCTTCTGAGTTAAAGGTGCGGAAAGTACCTCGTATTACTATTGAGTGATTTAAGTGAAGTGTCTTTGTCTAAGTAATTCAAACGATTTTCAGTTTTTGTGTCCTGTCTCTACGACTTCATGATCTATTTTTTAGTGTCGCTGAAAATTTCATTACCATTTAACATCTGAATTATCATTTGGCTTTTGTTGTTTTCTTATTCCTTTTATTTTAGTATAGATACTTACTCATTCCATGAGAAGCAATCACTTGCAATAATATTTTAAGCTTTTCTTGGCATTTTGGTTGTGTTTGATGCTATTTTATTATTCTAAATCAACATGATGTAGGGAGGCATTTCCATTTCTTTCTTTCTTTCATAAGGCATGATGGATTTAAAGGAAAACAAAGTTAATGAATGCTAGATTCATACAAGCATGATTAAGCATATGTAAGTAGTGTTGACATTTGACTTATCACCACGTTTGAGATATTTAACTTAGGCTTCGTTTGGGGCGACTTTCTTAATGCTTTCTAAAGTAGCTTCATGCTTTCTTAATGCTTACTAAAAAATATTTTAAAAAGCAGTAAAAAAGTCGTCCCAAATAAAACCTTAATCGTAATGGGCTGTTTTTATTTCCAACCTAGTTACACCATTCAATGAAACGGGTTTCCTATGTTTTGATCAGTTTACAATCATGTTTGGAATGTGAATGGTCACTTTCCAATTTTATTTTCTAATTAAAACGTTATACAAGCTCAATCATACAGAATGTGTTGTCACTGATCAACAGTTTGATATTTGGGCTGTCATATTATATTTTTGGCTTTTCTATGTGAACTTGTCAAATGTCATCTTGTCTTTTTCCTAAGGTTATTAGTGTCATACAAATATTCTAATCGCTTTAAAATAATCACCTTAAATTGAAAGGATTATTTAAGAAACTCGGTCATGAGATCATTCTGTTTGTTGTCGTTTATGTACTCAATTTCATTAAAAAAAGTGATATTTTGAAGTTGATTGTTTAGTTTCATAATCTAAAAAGAAACTGTACTAGCCTTTTACGTTTTCCAAGTCCGAATAAGACAAGCTTTTTTTTTTTGTGATGAGGAAGCACTGTCCTTAGGCCAGTGAAAATCTCGGTCAACCTAGCATGCAACCCACACCAATTTACACTGACCAACACTTAAGGCTTTCAGTGTTTGTCAAGAGATTCGAACCAGGAATCTAGGCTTTGCCCAGCCGGTTCATAGACAAGTTACCTATTGATGTTAGTTTGATAAGAAATCATAAAACTTATGTCAAAATTCATGAAATTTTGATGTTGGATTTTAAATATTATATTGATAGCCTAGTTGAGCATGATAAAAATATTGAATTTTTTTTATGGATGCATGGAAAATCTATGTAAGATTAGATTGAGTGATAGTTATATTAGAGACATTATGTGAGTATCAGATTTTGAAGATATGATTGTAGAAAATAAAATGAGGTTGTTTTGGCATATTTGCAAAGGGTAGATGTAGCAATAGGGAAAATAAATATAACTAAAATGGAAGATTTAAGAAAAGTGAGATTGAAATTAACATGTATAGAGGTTGTGCATATGAAGTTTGCAAAAAATTAATTTAACATCTCATGAACTATATAAAAATAATGATTAAAGATTCATATAATTATACCCAAAATAGTTGGGGAAAAGATTAATTTTGATGTTGATTTCTAGTTTATGGCAGATATGATATTTTAGGAAAAGAGTACACCTATTTTTATGCTACAAAAGCATTGACCCAAGAGTAAGTATGGTAAACTAAAAATTAATTGCAAACTATATCAAGCACCACGTGAAAGAATATCAACATTTATATGGTTCAGCTTGAGTAATACTATGCCCATTATAGAGGAGAGAATTTGGTCCATTAACAAAAATATTATAATTGTGGTGTACAATAAAAGGACGAATGCTCATTAGTCATTCCCAAAATTCAAGTATACCCTTGCTTAGTAAATAAAACAAGAAACACTAAGTCTCATAAGATAAGTCAAATAGAAATAACTTAGGAATGTCAACAAAGGAAAATGATTAAACAAATATTAGAAAATTTTCCACTTTAGAGATTCCTTGGAAAAGATAACATTGGTTCATGGAAAGATTACTTTAAAATCTCAAAAATAAAATATCTTATAATTTATTTCTCTCTATTCTCTCTCTCTCTCTCTCTCTCTCTCTCTCTCTCCACCCCCCACCCCTTTCTATTTTCTCAATTCTTTCTCAACTCCTAAACATTATTAATATTGCCCTATGCTTCCATGCTAATTAAGCTTCTATACATCAACTTATATAACTACCCACCCAATGCAAAATTACTTATGTGAAATCACTTTATTCATTTCCAAGCTTTCACATAAGAAGCTTAAAGTCTACATCACCATATAATTCATGCATGATATTGAGTAATTTACTAATTAATATCTCACTTAACTCAATATTATGATAAATCCTAGATCTCTTATATGACTTCCTTTCAAGTTAAACACTGTCAAGCTCTATAAGCTCTGAAGGGCTTAGCATGCACAATCTTTTAGTGATGTTTAAATACTCTAGCCACAAATCTTCTTCAGTTGTTTCCTATAGGACCTATGCTAAAACCTCAGTCCACCTATTACAATTTAATTGTTGAGAGAACCTTTTAATCCATCTTTTATTTGTCTTCTTGACTTGTGATTTAGATATCTTATTACGTCCTATGAGTGCCTTCACATGCCCTTGTTGAACTAGAATACTGCACATTTTGGTTCTCCAAAGCCTAAAATAACTCTTTGAGTTATTAAACTTCTCAATCTACAATTCCATGGTTATTGTATTCCTCATAAATCTTTGCTCTTATACTAATTATTGGGAAAATAGTGTGCATAACTTTATTCTATCAAGAAATAACCTTTTGAGCAAGTATGATGAACCTTAAATTAATTGCAAAACAGATTAGATATCGTACAAAGAACACCAAAGTAGATTAATTTAATTAAGCTTATGTTTACAAGGGATGAGAGAGAATTTGATTTACTAGCAAAGAAATCACATGTGTGGCACACACTTAAAGGATATTTACCAAATATTCTCAAAGCTCAAGTATACACTACCTCAATAAAGAAAAAAGAGAAGCTTAAAATATTACAAAATAAGTAAGAACAAATTATTTAGGAGAGTTAAGAAAGTAGTATTAAACCAATACCAAATACCAAAAATTGAAGTTCTTAAAAAATCATACAATCATTCATTGAGATGATACTTTGAATTCCTAGAAATAAATTTGTGATTTATTTCTCCTTTCTACTTCTCTAGCCTTTTTCTCTCATTTCTCAATTCCTTCTCACCTCCTTAATAAAAAAACCTCAAGATTGTCTAAGCTTCAATGTCATTTAAGCTTCAATACGTTAATTTTTTCTGTATACCAATCCATTGCAAAGTTATCTAACTTATGCACACCCACCTTATCTATTTACAAGCTTTCACACAAGAAACATGATATCTATCTCATCATGTGGTTCATATATAGATATTAGATCAGGGCCTAACAAATCATGTAACATATTTTCTTGCTTCTACATAAGAAATTTGAAACCTATCTTACCATGTGATTCGTGCATGACATTGAGTCAATATCTAGAATAGCACCACCTTTTCTTTGTTGGTTGTTCTCAGTTAGTCTAAGATGATTTTAATTTGCGTACCAATCCAAATCATTGATTATCCCTTTCCACCATTACCTGCATTGTCACTTTTTCCTAATCTGTAAGTTAACCTTCTTTTTACTCTCTTTTCCTCAAATTGCTCTTATTTATTCTAATTTCGTTCCTTCCTATCCAACCTTTTTTAACCTCATGCATTATTTCCTTCGTGTTTATCCTTTTACCTTGAAGGATACTTTTAGCTTGTGTATTCATAGGCCCAACATTGGAATTCTTATGTAAACGACATGCCGCCCCGACTCAGCAACCTGTACCGGAATAGGTGCAGTTAGTTTGATACTGAGTTGCTGTCTCAGAAAATTTGAACTACTGATTGAAATAGTAGTGAGTTATAAACCACATTCTTCGTGGGATAAATACTGGCTCGCTTCGTTTATCAAACTTCTACATTGTTGAACTAATTTTTTAGTTGCTTATGGGTCTAGGACTTTCCATTTTTCCAGCTGACAGCTGCTAGAACTTTGTGCATATTAATATTTGAAGGGTCATACCTTCTGGTTCATTGTAATTTTAGAATCTTTGGCTTTAGGTATACTTTCTTTACTATCCTTTTTTCCTTAAAATTGGAGGACCCGAAATAACATTTGGTTCATATTTTGAAAGTTCTTTTTAATTGATGAAATATATAAGCATTTCTAGGTTAGTGGTTATTGGATATTTTCCATTGTGTGCAATCTTCTTTTAGCACATCAATATGTTAAAAAAATGCACTTAATATGGCTTTTGAAAATCTTGCCAAATAAAATATGACATAATTAATTTGAAAGGATTGCTGAAATATGGCCATCACGTTTGTGTGTGTGTGTGTGTGTGTTTATAAGGCTAGTTGTTTGCATGTTGATTGAGCTGCACTGTACTGAGAATAGATTATGGAGCCCAGAATGAGCTACTAACTTAGGATGTGATGCCCTGCTTGAAAGCATGTGCTGGTCATCTATTTGAAAAGCAAGTTTCTTCAGAGCTTTAATATGAAAATGTTAATTGGGAATCCATATTTTTTAGTTTTATGGTTCCTCAAAGAACAATTCAATTAACTGACCACATGATTCGAAGCCACTTGTTCTTTTTTATTTATTTATTTATTTATTATTTTTTTTTTTGAGCAACTTGTTCTTGAATCTTGCTTAACCATGATAATAGGTATTGAGACCCATACGAGCTACAAACTACATCAACCACACCAATCCCAACTAAATCATCAGTTTTGATAGCTTTTCTTAGGGAGTTTGAATCAAGGGGAAACCAAAGTGGTCAAACTCATTTTCAAGCCAAAGCTTAAGCTCATATATGAGTGCCATCCATTTTTATTTCTACACGAATATTCTTTTCAAATCCGATGTAGGATTAAACCCAATACTGTTGTCTACCTCAATGTTGAAGATATGCTACTAATGTGAGTGTAAAGAATGTTTTTAACCCATTCTCTCTCAAAAAAAATTCTAAGAATATATAGTGGTTATATGCGTACATACTTTTGTGGCAGTTTAATGCAAAGCTCTGCACTTGCTTCATCTTTATTTCCTTATATGTAATCCTTCATTTATTATTTATTCCTCTGCTTTATATTTTAATTTCAATATGTACTTCTACCATATTTGTCTTATATACAAAAACTACATTTTTTTTATGCTTATTAAGTTCTTTGATTACTTAATAGGCTTCCTCTGATGAACTTTGTCAAAATCCTAAATTTTAATGTTTGATTTCTACTACATTTCAGCATAGAGATATTCAAGCATAACAAGGAAGAAAGAATTGCTCGAACCTGGGGAACAACTGCCCCAGGATTACCCTATGTTGAAGAAACCATAACCAATGCTGGAAACTGGCTCATAGGTGGAGACCTGGATGTCATAGAGCCAGTCAAGTACAATGATGGACTTGATCAATATCGTCTTTCGCCTGCAGAGCTTCGAGAAGAGTTCACAAAGCGCAATGCAGATGCTGTATTTGCTTTTCAGCTCCGAAATCCTGTGCATAATGGCCATGCATTGCTTATGACGGATACTCGTAAACGCCTTTTGGAGATGGGCTATAAAAACCCTATCTTGTTGCTTCACCCATTGGGAGGCTACACCAAAGCGGATGATGTACCACTCAGTTGGAGAATGAAACAGCATGAGAAGGTTAGTTATTTTGTACCCATGTTTTCCTCAACATTTTTTCATGTAAAAAGCTATACCTGAATATTTGAAGTATTTAGCCTAAAAGCAAGCCATTCGTTATTTCAATTACAGAAACTATAGGTTAATTTTATATTTTAATTAGTAATATGTTGTTTTTTCTAAAATTCCATTACAGGTGCTTGAGGAAGGTGTCCTTGACCCTGATACTACGGTTGTTGCTATCTTCCCCTCTCCAATGCATTATGCTGGACCTACTGAAGTGCAGTGGCATGCCAAGTCTCGTATTAATGCCGGTGCTAATTTCTACATTGTTGGCAGAGACCCTGCTGGCATGGGTCACCCCCTTGAGAATAGAGACCTTTATGATGCTGATCATGGGAAAAAAGTACTCAAGATGGCACCTGGTCTCGAGAGGCTCAATATCTTACCATTCAAGGTATGCGAACGTGAAGCCAAAAAATATATATATATTTAGGCTTCGTTTGCGACGGTTTTTTTTTTTTTTTTTTTTTTTTTTTTTTTTTTTTTTTTTCGTTTGCGACGGTTTTTTTTTTTTTGCTTCTTAAAACAGAGTTTTAGTACAAAAATTAAAATTTTTGTACTAAAAAGCTGTTTTAAGAAGCAATACTAAAGCCGTTGCAAACTAAGGCTTAGGCTTCATTTGAGAGGGCTTTCTTTCTGTTTTTTAAAACAATTTTTTAATAAAAACTTTTAATTTTGTACTAGAAAACTACTTTAAGAAGTAGAAAGAAAGCCGTCAAACAAAACCTTAGTTATATAATCCAATCTATTTGAGGGACTTCTTGAAAGGATTTAAACTCTAGGAGAGAGCGAAAATGATACTTAGTTACATGATCTAGGGTTTGGGGCAAGATTCAATTGAACACTAAGTTAAGATTATATTTTCACTCATTTTGAGTTCTGAAATAAATCCTCACTTTTAAAGCATTTTGCAAGCAATTTGTAGAGTCGAAAATCCATTTTGATTTCGAAATATAGCCAACCAAATGATGGAATCTAGAGAAATCATAATTTTACAAAATATTTTTCTAAGTCAAGCAACCAATAAAGCTCTAAGGGTATTCTTAATTTGTGATGTTTAGCTATCGAACTGTCCTTACCGTAAGGTGTAGCTACTCACGGTACATGCTAATTTTATGTAGCCTTCTTAGATTTCTGTTGCTTTTTTGGAGGCCAAAGAGAAGGAAGAAAAAAAAAATTTTTTTCATTAAAGAGAAAAAAGAAACATGATGGATGATATCGGTTAGCCATGTCAGGTGAACTAAGTTAGGCGCAAAGCCACCTTATATATTTAGAACGGTGTTTCTTTGTTGATCTGTCTCTTATTTGAAATCATTTAAGAATCATAGACACATTTTTCTTTATATTTTGAAATTGAAGATTGTTTGTTACTATAATATGCTATTTATTACTCTTTTCTGGTGATGCTTTTCATGGACGGAACAGCCCATTTTCCTTTCTAAATTGACAAGAAACTGCTTTATTGTAAGATGTTTTACTAAGTTTTTCTTGAATCTTTTCAGGTAGCTGCCTATGATAACACGCAGAGAAAGATGGCTTTCTTCGACCATTCAAGGCCCCAGGATTTCCTCTTCATCTCCGGCACCAAGGTACTCTTTGCCTAAGTAGAAATTAGAAACCTCTTATGAATCTGAGTAATCTGTCTCAAAATTGAAGCGTTTGATTTTGATTTTGACTAAGCGAAAATGATCGATTTTGAGTAAAGCTTCAAGCTGATTCGAGTTAAATATGCATTTATGCACATGCATATATATCATATATTAAGGGTTCGTTTGAAACCGCTTTCTTAATTCTTTCTATGAGAATTTTTAATACTAAAAAGTTGTATTAGAAAGCAATGCGAAAGCTGTCGCAAACGAAACCTAAGTTAGTTTCAAATGATTTTTTGAGTCAGCTAAAGCTAATTTTGAGTTTCAAACGCAATTATCATCCAAACACCATAATCTAACTTCGAATTTCATTCTGCAGATGAGAAACCTTGCGAAGAACCGCGAGAACCCACCAGATGGCTTCATGTGTCCTGGAGGATGGAAAGTTCTTGTAGAATACTACGACAGTGTGGCTTCTGGTACCAAAATCCGACAACCTGTTCCTGCTTAAGACAGGTTAAACCTTACTTCAGAATCAAAAGATGGTGAACCATACCTGTATAATAAGCTCCAATGAGCAATGAAACTGTGCGTGCTGCTTGTGTTCACAGATTGTCTACACAGCAATCACTATTGTACAGAAACTAACTTGCAAAGCTTCTGTTATGCCATGCATCGCTATGGAAATATTTTCTACCCAGTTATGCTAGTGAGAGGGAGAGCTCAAGGGTAAAGCTTTCACCCTTAGTGGGTTTTGGCAAGAATTAGAGCAAAAGCCATACTTTCTAGTAACATCATTTGGAAAGATTTCTCTTTTGTTATGTCTGAGTCATTTGGGTCTTACGGTTCTGTTTGGGATAATTTTCTGACTATTTTGTTTTTCAGATAATAATTATAAGTTCTGTTGGGTATTGACTTCTTGTTATTTCTCGTTGTTTTTCAAAAAAAGTTCGGGTGAAAAACTGTTTTCTGCAATCATAATATCAAAATTATTTTCTCAACATCAATTTTATAAAATACTGCGATCGTCTCATAGAAACCATATGCAAATTATATATAATGGATCAAATCAAGAATCATGTTAAATTTTTGGGTAAGTTTAGTCCATTTAATATTTTAATTAGATCAGTATTCTAATAGGTTAGTTCATAACTCGACCGCTTGACTAGCCCACCCTAATCAATCCAAAGGTGTGAATAATATCTCGATCACATATCGGATTCATGCTTCTGATGATGATGATGATGATGCGTAAATTGATCAAGGCATGAGATTAATCTTTATGATGAATGATGATCTTAATTGAACACTCAAATATACGAGAAATTATTCTGTGCGGATCCGGATGTAGCTTGACATCCGAAGGTGAATCTCGTGCAGCCACGTCAACGATATCGAGTAGTATAGTGCTGCGGTACCGAGCAAAGGGATGATGTGGCGTATTCTGACTGGTTTTCGGACGGCATTCGAGTATTGCATTGAGGTGAATAGTCCATTCAAGGTCATTTCAAATATTTATACAAAGTTACAGGAATAAATAAAATATAAAATATACTGATAAATCATCCTATCAAATGAAATCTACATTTTGCAGATGATACCATCACGCCTCTCTTTATAATAATAAATAAATAAATTGCATGACACCAGAAAAATGAAAAATCCAGCTAACTTCCAATCTATTTTAGCTCTCATTTCATCCATTCTGCTCTTGCACCTATAAATACAAATCCTCTCCCACGCTTCTGTAATTTTTGCTGTAAGCCTGTAACCATTTACTCCTCTGCTTGCATGGCTGTAGTGACGATAGATCTTCTCCTCTCATTCAAGTAAGCTAGCTATATCATCACTCATTAATGACCAACGCCGCCTCCGACGAGGACGGCGGCCCGGAAACCAGTCCGGCCCATCCAACCTTGAGTGCCACTGTAATCCCTGGTCCAATAATCGTCGGTGCCGGCCCATCTGGCCTCGCCACCGCCGCCTCACTCCATCTCCTCTCTATCCCCTCCGTCATCATCGAACGCTCCGACGGCATTGCCCATCTATGGCGACACCAAAGCTACGACCGTCTGTCTCTCCACCTTCCCAAACAATTCTGCGAGCTTCCTCACCTCCATTTCCCCTCCCACCACCCCAATTACCCTTCCAAATCCGATTTCGTCTCATACCTCGTCTCCTATGCTCACCACTTCGGTCTTCGGCCACTGTTTCAATGTGCCGCTACGGCGGCACGGTTTGATGAGACGGATTCTCTGTGGCATGTGGCGGCTGCGCGGAGATGGCCGGAGGGGAGGGAGCAGGTGGTGGAGTTTGTGTCGCCGTGGTTGGTGGTGGCGACAGGGGAAAATGCAGAGCCGGTGGTGCCGGAGATGAAGGGGAGGGAAGCGTTTAAAGGTGGAGTTTTGCATTCCAGTGAATATAAGAATGGAGTAGACTGTAAAGGGAAGAGGGTGTTAGTTGTCGGTTGTGGTAATTCTGGAATGGAAATGTGTTTGGATTTGTGCGAGTATGGTGCAATGCCATTCTTATCAGTTAGAAGCGGAGTAAGCTCTTTTCTAATCTCTCTCTTTCCGCCTAAAAAAACTCTGGTTTTTTGCTTCCTTGCTCTGCTTTTACCCTGTTTCAGAAAAACTTTACATTGAATCAAAGACTCCATGACATTATGATCTTTTGATAGATTAAAACAGGAATTTCTGTTTTAATGAAACAAAGATTAACAATGAAATCACCATAATGCTTTTTCTATATGGCATTGCACTGTCATTCCAATCTCTGCAATGAAAAATAACAACTTCATTTCGTACTGGTGAAGAAGATTAATCAATGAAAGTGCCGTACCTTATTTCGTACTGTGCTTACAAGTTGTATTCCTGTTAGTTTTTGCTTTTGATTATATGAGAATGTTAGTTTTTGCTTTTGATTATATCGGCAGGTGCATGTATTACCGAGAGAATTGCTTGGAATCTCTACTTTCAGGCTAGCAATGAAGCTGTTGAAGTGGCTTCCAGTGAGATTAGTGGATAAAATACTAGTATTATTGGCGAGGATGGTAATTGGAGATACAGGAAAGTATGGATTGAAAAGGCCTAAGATAGGGCCACTTGAGCTCAAGAATGCTACTGGAAAAACTCCTGTTTTGGATGTTGGAGCATTTAATCTGATAAAGAAAGGAAGTATTAAGGTAGTTTATCAATTTTCATTGTAATTGGTTCTTCTTATGAGTTTTTGGATGATAATGATATCTCATATAACTGTAATGAAATGCACAAATCCCAAATTTGTTGTATAGAAAGATTACAATATGTCATATCACCTTCGATTCTCTCACTCTGTACTCTGTTCTTCCCAAAACCTTGGTTTCTCGTGCATTCTACTGTAACTTTCAAAGATATGATTTTTATGTGATTAGTGACTAAAGACAACACATCATTTCAACAACTAGAAATTACTCAGAGTCTATATTTGATATTTCTCTCTCTAAACTAGTTATGGGCCATTCTATTTACTGATCAGAGGATCTCTGTTCCCCATGCTGACCATGGCAGATAGTATCAGAAGTGGAATCCCTTACAAGGAATGGAGCCAAGTTTGCTGATGGAAGAGAGATGGCTTTCGACTCTGTCATTTTTGCTACCGGTTACAGAAGCAACGTCGCTCACTGGCTCAAGGCAAATATCTGCGCTCTCTCTCTCTCTCTCTTTCTCTCTCTCGCGCACACAAATCAAATAATTCTCATCGAATAAATTTCAAAAAATAAAATCTTCTCATGGAATAAGCTGTCTTATGGTTCTTTTTAAAAATTCCTTTGTAAAAACAGCATTTTTTTTTTTCCATCCAAAATCAGCTTGTATGTTTTATCCAAACAAGACGCACTGGTTTACCTGAACTCCCTTAAAAAATGCGATCTTTTGAATGAAAACTTAAATCTTTTCTCAATCCAAATATCAAATACACAAAACAAGAAATTCAGATTACTGCATTCTCTGCAGGACTGTGATTTCTTCTCAGATGATGGCAAGCCCAAGTACCCATTCCCCAACGGCTGGAAAGGAGAGAATGGCCTCTACTGCGTTGGATTTACAGGCAGAGGACTCCTCGGCGCCAGTATTGACGCAGAGAAGGTAGCTCTTGACATTGCAGATAGATGGAAGAATCTCTAATCTAAAAAACCAGTAACAAAAGCTGGTTTCTTTGTTTTATGTTAACTTAGAAGTTTAGAATGAAGCAGGTTTAGCTCGCTCCAAGCATACAGTTCTTTTTGTTCCCTTTCTTTTCACTGTACAAGGAGCAGTATTGTATTTTTAATTTTTTGTGGGTGGGTGGGAGGTGAAAGGAGCAGAATAGCATAGTGTTGCATGGTCCATATTTTGTATCAGGAGAGAGCAGTGCTAAGCACAGAGAGTGATGTCAATGTGAGCTTGGCTTTTGGTTTCAAGTGGTTGCTTCCGCCTCTGTTATCAGTCCTTTCCTCCTTCTCTGCTCCCCAAATTCCAGTAGATTTGGGAGGTAGTGGTTGATGCTCTTTGTCCTGTATTTCAGAGAGCAATGTGTGGCTTTTTGTGTACTGATTTCTAATGCTGAATGTCTAGATATAAGTTTCATGTAGTCGAATAAATTTAAAATTTTGATAGTAATTTTCAAGATATTTACTAGTTAGCTTCAAAATTGTTTGTTCAGAAGATAAAAACTTTACTCCCAAAAATGACCAAGTAAAGAGAGAGAGAGAGAGAGTGTGTGTGTGTGAGTGGATTATGATAATTTTTTATAAGTACAAAATGATTATTGATAGATACAATCATTTGATTACGTGAAATGTATATATATGGAGCCGATTCTTGTGAAGTCACTGGTTGACTTCACCTTTGCTCATTGAGTTCTTGTGAGTAGTTATGCTGATGGAGAAAAGTTCATGCCCTCAAAACGTTCGTGGTTAATGTTATGAGAGGAGAGAAAACCCTAGAGTGTCTCCTTCCCTCGAAGGGACGTCGACGTGCTGAATTCGGCGCTCGACGTGCGGGGCAGGTACGAAAATTTTTTTTTTCTTTGTTTTGTTTTATACGGCAGGTTAACAGTTGTCAATGTTAAAGAATGGTAGTTTAGCTTAGTTGGATATTCTATCAGTAGGTCTTTCTATGAATCTTTAATACATGCTATCAACAAAATGTGGGCTTTGAATGGTACTATGAATCTGCTCTTTTTTAGTGATGATTTTTTTCTTCTGAAATTCTCTACCCGTGAGGATTTTTAGAAGGCTTGGACTGGGGGTCCTTGGTTTTTTCTTGGAAAACCATTTTAGAAGGCCGGACCACCGACGGAGTTCCGTCGAACCACCACTGCTCCACCAACGCCGGACTTCCGCCGGGCCACCACCTGACGCCATGTGCTCCGCTGGACCACCACCTGACGCCCTGTGCTCCGCCGGACCACCGCCTAATGTCGTTGCTCCGTCGGACCACCACCTAAAGCCTTGTGCTCCGCCGAACCACCGCCTAACGCCGTTGCTCCACCAGACCACCACCTGACGCCCTGTGTTCCGCCGGACCACCGCCTAACGCCGTTGCTCCGCTGGACCATCACCTGTTGCCCTCTGCTCCGCCGGACCACTACCTGACGCCCTGCGCTCCGCCGAACCACTACTTGAGGCCCTCACTTTTTCCAGATCGCCGTCAGAGGCCCTCACTTTTTCCAGATCGCCGTCAGAGGCCCTCACTTTCGTCAGACCTTCACCTGAGGCCCTCGTCTTCGCCAGATCATCACCTAAGGCCCGGACTTCTATCAGACCATCCTCTGAGGCCCGAAGCTCTGTCAGACCACCTGACACCCAGATTTCTAACGTACAATTGTTAATTATAAACTGATCGCCCTCAGAGGTGAGTCAGCCCATTGTAACCGACTCAAATTCTAGTGGAATCATTTTCAACTGGCTAAGCCCCGTGGTTTTTCCCCTTTCAAAGATTTTTCATGTAAAAAATCTTGTGTTCTCTATGTGTGAGTTGGATATCCGTACAAAGCTAAGACGTACAATTAAAACTCTATCGCCGCGTATATTCTAGCTCGCAACAATTATATATAATCTACTTTCACTCATCCCTTTCTCAACATTTCTCATTATTGAACAATATCTAGCAATACTAAATAAAATATTAATTTTAGCATAAATTTTTGTTTTTACCCTTTTTACAAATAAGAGAGAGATCAAATCTGATAGAAAAAAAAAAAAAAAAAAAGAACATAAATGCATGCAGGATTGTAACCTTCTTCATAAATGATTGGCCTCATAAACTCACAAGTTGCATTGGTGTCCTATGTGAAAAGCTTCCACTGCAAACTTATTTTAATATGGAGGTCAGACTAAATTTTGATAATTTTCTTACTATCATATGAAGTATTCATACATGCATCTTGGATGGCCATGCATGATGCTGATAAGTTGCGTGTGGTGGAAAGATGCCATGCATATCTTATATGGTCATATAATTATGTCTCTCTAAGATCATAGAAGTAAAATAATTAAGATAAGATGTCTGGTTGAGCAATCATTATATGATTTTATGCGCTCATATAATAACTTTTCATGTCTTGTTTGCTCTTTTAGAGAGAGAGAGAGAGAGAGGGAGAGAGAGCTTTAGGCATGTTGAGCTGTTGTATCAGATGAATATGAGTGTATCTCTTTTGAGAAGCTAGAAAGAATAGGAGAATGAATTTATGAACTCGATTTGGTCTAAGTGATATGATTTGTTGGTTCAAGAAAGTGCTTAGATTTTGATAAGCGATAGGCATAGCTACACCAAAATCTTTAAATATGAGGTTTGGAGGTTATTAGAAAGGTATTCATCAATCTTTAAACATAGTTCTTTGAATACTCCATTGCTAATGTGATTTATGTGTTTTTATGAGATAAAGAAGGCTGGTCATCTTTGAGCTCTAAAATACCTTATAGATTGTAAAAGAGATTCTTGTTGGAGCTCATTAAGAATTCACTTTTTTTTTAGTATTATAATTTATCTTAAAAGGATTGAATTGTAAAGGAAGAGAAATTAAGACCAGATGCACACAATATCAAAAATGAGTTATTTCTGTAGCAGTTGATAGTTATAGACAGCTTTTCCTAGTGGTTTTAACTGTGACTAATGGTGGCGGTTTAAACCGGTTTTATAGTAGCCATAAAAAAGCTTTGACGAGCCATAATATCTCATATACCACTCAAGCCTCCCAACATTTACATCTTCTCTTTGTCCATTTCATTGATATATTATCGGGCCCTAGTTCTCTCAATCGTTGCCTCACTTTTTCTCCTTCATATCGATCGAGCTCAAAAAATGATTGATCGTTCACCCATCATTATCACGGCCTCCACTGTAGCTTCAATAAACGACCTTAGTCCCAAAGTTGCTACCGCCACTCCCCTTAGCTTTAAAGGCAAAACTATGTCCCCATGCTGTCATCATTTGAACTTTATGAGCAATCACAAATCTGCTTGTCAACCTCCTCTTCTCTACCAAGATTCAAGCAAATAGCATATGCTACTCTGGTCGTAAGCACCATAAAATATTTTTCTTACCCAGTCATGCCCTAGACGAAAGTCGATAACTTGTACAAGTTTCTTGACTTTTTTTTTTGCAATGTTTCTTTGACTTTTTTTTTAATTGTTTTTAGGTATTTTTGTGCACCTATTTATTAACTTTGATTTATTTCAATTTGTTGAGATATATAATATTTAATCTATATTTTCCTTAAACATTTATATAAATTGAATGTAATTCTTCTTTATGCTATGTGGGTTTATTTTTATCAAAGGAGTTCTTAAAGAAGTTAGTGAAAAGGTTGCAGAGTACAAACTAAGAACTTGTGGCCTATAGATATATTTGAAAACACAGCTCACCTTGGCCTGTTGGTTGAGAGCTTATGCTTCAACTAAGAGGTCATGGGTTCGAGTCTTTGTGTATGTGTGGTGTGTGTGAGTTTGTCTTAATTGGCCTAAATGTCCAAAAAAAAAATATATATTTGAAAAAAATTTAACTTACAAAAAGAGAGATCCTTTTTGCCCTAACCTTACTTAACCTACCCGATTTTCTTCCCATTCCGCCGGTGCAAGCCGCGCCCCTCCCGCACGCCTCATGGACGAGCCCCATTCCACGCAGAGGAAGCAGATCCTTGTCAAGTATCCTCAGATTCGAGAGTTCTTTGGACCTGATCAGTGGGCTTTCATTAAGGTTGGAATCGGATTCTCATGATTTCTGTAGGGCTTTTTGCCGATTTACTGGTTGGTTTTTACTCGCATAGCTTGCATTTGTTCACATTTGTTGATTTATGTGAATACGTGTCTTTTGTTTTTCGAATTTGTGCTATCCGACCAGAAATTCTTTAATGAGATTCCTGTAGATGATTGATCTGTTTTACCCTTTCTGTTCTTATAAGTTCAAAGCATAGATTTTTTTCCTGGTTTTAAAAGTTAATAGCCCTTATTTACGGTTTGGAAAGTGGTGCCCTTAGAATTATTTAGATCATGTTTATGAAATGCTCAAACTTCGAGTCTTTCACATCTTGTTGAGTAATCTGCATTTGTAAGATTTGATTTCCAAAGGCCAGCGTTTGATTTGTTTTTTTTATCAACAATAATAGTTCAAAACATTGAATAACAATTCTTTTGAAGGCATTTTCATCCATTGAAACTAACTCAGTCTTTGGAAGACAAAATTCATTTTTAAATGAAATTTTTTGCTCTTGAATATTATTGTTATGCTTAGGGTTTAAGCAATATTTTAAATTGACATATTTTTGTCTTTATTGCTACTTATTAAGCCTGAATGAGTTTGCCCACGTTAAGAATGAGAAATTATTCTGGGCAGAGTTCAAATAGGAAGAACCATCCAGACTTTTAATATACACATTGTGTACATACAATGTGTACACAAATTTGATTCACATGTTCGGACGGTTCTTCTCGTCTAGACTCTGCACAGAATGATTTCTCTGCAAGAATAAGGCTGGTTCCGCCCCTATTTCTTAAGATATTATTCCTAGCCTTACAACACATTCATCTTAACATTCTCACTTATAATAGCATAATTTATATAATTGTAATTTTTTGTGGTACTCTTATTTATATTAAAAAAATTTGAACCGGCCGGTTTTAAGAAACCCGGACCGGTTCGCCGGTTCCCCGGTTGAACCGGCGGTTCATGCCAAAACCAGCCGGTTCGATGCTAAGGCGGTTCTCAGGTTGAACCGAACCGGCTTTCAGACCGGTTCACGGTTGAACCGGTCGGACCGGCCGGTCCGGTCCGGTTTTTAAACCATTGCTTATAATAGCATAATTTATATAATTGTAATATCTTGTGTACTCTATAGCATTTTTTTTCTCATGATCATTAAAAATCCCCATATCCTTGCCTTATATATACACCAATATGTGAAGGGAGAGATAAACTTTCACATAGGTTAATTAAATGTAGGTTAATAACTTGTTCAACTTCTTCCAGTCTAGATAAACTTATTCATGTACAGTGTATAAGGATTTGTTTAACTATAGGTTAATAACTGCACTAAAAACCTCAGTTCAAT